ACTGCGCAGTTTGACTGAGACGCAGCAGCTCACACATGATATTACATGTTTTACTCTCGCTGCTGGATATTCACGTGTTGGATTTGTTTGGCCGTATTAAACACACACACACTGGAGTGCTGGTTTGTTGATAGTTCTTTAATACTGGAAGTTTTTTGAGACGTTGTTTTTCAGACTTCACTCTGTTGACACAGGGAGGAGTTTCCCCAAAATAGAGGTGTATTTGTAGTTCGCCACAATTTAATCTTGGGACATGAGCGAGTTTTCCTCTCCGGAAAGATGCAGCATCCACTGTGTGACTGAATTTCTTTTAATGCTGGTGACAGAACCATTATGTCTTTGGGTTGTGTCCAGCCGCCCGTCTGTCTGATCGTCTCCGAGATATCTTGAGGGACTTTCTTCTTCGAATTTGGCTCGAACATTAACTAGATTAGATCTCACACGTCTTTGGCCAAATATAAAAACACTATCAGCATTGTCATGAAATATGATGCAGCAGATTTTCATTTTTTTATCAAACCTGCAAATATAAACCAAAATAGTTTTCTACAGTTTTTGCTCCTGGAAAGTAAAACACGATCGATGTTGTCTGTGTTTGAACTCCAGCAGCTCAGACGTGCTCGGTTACGTTCAGGGCAGATTGTTTTTTCTTTGATGAATATTGAAAAAGTCAGAAGACAGAACATGAAGCTCGGCTCTTCAGCGCTGCAGTCAGGCGCTGCGGTGTGAGAATGATGCACGCACATCGTGCACTGGAACAAAACGCTGCCAGTGGATTTAAGTCCTGAAAATTAGTAGCACATGAGCGTGACTCCGTGGAGACGGGGTTGGTGGTCCTGCACCATCGAGAATTTCCACATAAGCAAACCCTGTCACTTTGCTCGGTTTAAGTGTAAAGATGTCAACCCCCATTAACAAGTAGAGCCCAAAAACATTTTCAGTTTCATCTTTATTTTTCATACTCAGTGAATGTTTACCCTGTGCTGCACCGAAGCCGTCACACATTATTAACACTGATACCGTCATTCTGTCGAATCTCATTGGTTTACATTTTGAGATTTAATCTTATCGACAGCTCCAGCGTATTGTTTTAAAATAAAATACATTAAATCGCACTAAGCTCATAAGTTATATTTATCCCACTGAGCCCTGGTTAAAGTTAACCAGGGCTCAGTGAAAGTGAATAAACCCTTTTATTTGAATCCATTAATGACTCTTCAGTGCAAGTGTTGGCCTGATCATCACATTATTAAAGATATTATTGGATGTTTCATATTAATGCATCATTGTATTAATATAATTTAAATGTCATAGTAAATAAATACTTAATAAACAGCAGGTAGATCTAGGGATGACTCTGTTTTAGTTTGACGACTCAGGATTTGTGTAAAAGGCCATTTTTAAGACTATTTTCAAATCTATAAGTAAATAAATAAGTAATGAAGCAGCAGTGGTTCAACTTGTAGGTTCGTCATTAATTCAAACCACCTACTGTGTATTTTACTGTGTTCATGGTTCAGTGACGGAGCAGGAACTCTGGTAATTCATGCCAACGTGGACTGCAGCGTGTTCGGTGAGGGTTAGTCAGATCTGCCGCCTCTCGTCCTCCAACGTCCGTGAATTTGTTGTTTTAAAGCCCAAATTGGTTTCTGCAGCAATCGCGTGTATCCCTGCAAAGCGTCAGCGAGCGTACGTGCAGACTTTTTTTAAATAAACGTTGTCAAACTCAATCCTGTTAATTCGTCTCAGGTTACTAAGTCTTTGTAAAAGCGCTCGCATGGATCGTTTGCGTTCTGAGGAAACCGTGGCTCGGTGTTTTTATCACTGAGGCACACTGGGCTGATAATACATGAAGGCTGCCGTTCACTTAGAGCACACTGAGGCACATCTAACACAGTTCTAGGAAAATAAATCCTCAGCGTCCTCATCCAAGTGTTCTCAACCTCGACAGGTTCCGTTTGTTCTGCCGTCGAAGGAGGTGAAGAAAGTTTGTTCTGCTTAACTCAGACTCCCTCTGCTCGGACATATCACCATCACAAGCTGGTGTGTGTGTGTGTGTGTGTGTGTGTGCGTTGTCAGTGCAGAGAATGTGTCATATGACAGCAGCAGACACACAAACAAACACGACCATCAGATTAATGAGGAGAGCGGAAGCTGGGTTGGTGGAATCTGTCACACTCAGAGTTTGGATCTTGTCTTCATTTGTGTTTTTATTGCAGCAAGATTACTCAAAAACTTATTTCCCCTGAACACAATTTCAAAATTATGTTCAGGGGAAATCATTCTTATTTATTTTTCTTTAGCACATCTGGATAAACAAGCAGATCCAGGATGTTTCTTTTGTCGCTTTCTTTATCTTTGCGTGATGGAGCCTCGGGTGTCTGCTCTCCATTACTTTTTGTATTGAGGGACAGATTTGTTCAAAGACACTTATTATATTCGCCCTCATCCTTCGATAAGTTTCACAGAAATCAGTTCTGTCGGTTCTGAGTAATCCTGCGGACAAACAAAGAACCCGACTTCAAGTAGGAACAAACTTCTTGTGTTTGTGGATTTGAGCTAATTGTCCTCGAGTTGATCTGTTACGGATGTTATGTCCTCAAACCTCCAATTTTAGCCACATGCACTTCTGATAGCTGATTTGAAAGTCATGTGGTGTTTATGCTTCTTCTTTGTGGCTCCAAACCAGAGACTGTGTATAAAGATGGACGACACGACATCTCCCTAGAAGTGAAACCGAAATGTACCGATGGCCCCCTGGTGGCTGGTGGCAGTAATAGGTTCATAAATCCAGCCTCCTCCATTGTAGTGGATGGGACATGGACCAAACTTAAAAGTGATGATGTGGTAGTGATAAGTTTGGTTTCAGTTATTATTACACTTAAACTCCAGCAGGTTGGAGTCATGAGATGTAGAGAAATAAGATTATTTTATTTACAGATGATGGTTGGACAGTGACTTGTGCTGCCATTGGATGACTTTGTCAAATTCTGATTTAAATGCCAACAGAGATGTTATTATTCATTCAGCGACCCTGCAGGTATCAGTGACATCAGGCTGACTCGTCCTGCTCCACGCACACTGCAGCCTCAGGCCTTTACCGTCCGCCAACACGTAAAAGATTAAAGATTAGCACAGCTGCTTGACGACCCGCCGCCCTTTGACTCCAGCCACCACGTTCAGCTGCGTCATATGTTTCCTGCGCTCCATATAAGCAGATTTCCCCGTGCGTGATGCAATACAGCGGGAGTGCCGAGAGAAATGGAGCGCATACAGTTTTTCTTATTATGCGGACGTCACGGTGTTTCCAGGATAGTTCCAGCTTCAACCTGAGCAGGAGACTAATCAGCCAGAATAAGTGAAAACACCTGCACTGACACTTTCTGTGTGTGTGTGTGTGTGCGTGCACAGCCATCTGTCAGGTATAAAGTCACCTGTTATAGAAACAGGGGTTCTTGTTGCTAGGAGACATTTAGCCTGGGATTGATGCACACACACACACACACACACACACACCCTGACATTTTCCAAGACGTGGAGAAAAGAGCAGATGAGGCAGAAAGACAAAGAGAAGGAGGTTGGGGTAAAAGGAAATGGCCTCATTTACAATAATCTTCTACCGTCGATGAATTTCTTTATACTATAGAGACATGTACAACAAATACGTTTATTATTGACTGACTCAGGTTTTTTTTTTCTGGCTGGTTTGTTTGGATGTTTGTTTATGATCCAAATAAAAATCGGGATCTAGTGAAATATTGTTGAGTTCTGACGTATCTGCGTTGGTATTCACATCTGATCCTTTTATAATGATCCTCAGTTGTTTCTGTGACAGTGAAAGAAAGAAAGTTCTTGAACATCATCAGTAATAAAAGCTCCACTATAGTTAGTTTCACTCCACAGTGAACGATAAACAGCCAATCAGCTGACGTCATGTTTATACAACACACAGATCATCATCACTCCCGACAGTCTCTTCAATGTTTTACTTTTTATTGTGACACATTTCAGCCGCTGTGCCGTATTTGTACTTGGTTCTGTTTTTGTTGTCTTTGCTGTGTCTGTAGCTGTTTCAGTTTAATGAGTAAATGTACACACTGCGGCACAATGACGTCAGTTGCATAACTATCAAGTGTCTGTATAAATTTCTATAAGCTCTTTGCGCACTAACAGCAGGTACTGTAAACTGTACTTTATGGCTGCAGCTTCACGTCTTCAGTTTACTAATGATTAACTGTCCCAGACCCACATTTCTTGTAATGACACTAATGCAAAAAATGTCTTTTCAATATCTTCTCTCTCTCTCTCTCTATATATATATATATATATATATATGTATGTATATGTTCATAAATGCTGTGTACATCCTCGAGCCATTGCTCTTTGCTCATGTACTTTACCCATAATGTTTCTGTCGTGAAAGAAAGGATGTAAAAGGTGTTTCTGTTAGTGTAGACGGAGGTGAAGAGATCACATGACTTAAAAAAACTCAAGCGTTCGTAAACACAGTTTTAAAACGCACCAGCTAAATGTCTGTGTTGACTCTCTCACAGCTGTTATTCATATTCAGCCCAGTATTTTTTCTGTTCATGATGTTAAATATTTGTTATAGATTTATAGTTTATAGTCCGGAGCATGTGCCCACGTGCTGCCTGTTCGCCCTGTTCCTCCGGCCCGGGAGGAGATTTAACTCTGCAAACATTAAACAGCAGCTACCGGGATGTTATTATTTTTAAATCTGACGGGTAAATTTACTGAGCTATGACTTGAGGCTCTACAAACCTGTTCATCTGTTCACTTCACATTTATTTAATTTCTCTCTGTGTGGAAATATTCAGTGTTCAATGTGTAAACACAGATGTCAGTCCTAACCAAGTGGAAATGAAGAAAATTACTATTTACTAACTGAAATATTCTCACGGTTCTTGCTTTGGTATGTTTTGCGACACAAGGTGCAGTTTGAAAGTTTTTAAACACACTGATGTTCTGTCTCGCTGCAGCTCTCTGGTGGGTGCGAGCTGACGGTCGTCCTTCATGACTTCACAGCAGGATGCAGCACGGAGATGTCTGTCAGCACAGGTGAGATGAACTTTACACAGTCCTCTTCACAGCTCAGGCTGGATCCGTCTCTTCAGTTTGTTGTGTTCAGTAGATAAATAATCCAAAGACTGTTAGTTTAAGTGAAACCTGCTGGAACCGGGTAAAACAATAGGTCCAGAAAATGAAGCCAACGCAGAAGTGCCAGTAACCTGTGTTCTCTCAAATGACCAACAGAGGGCGACTCCACTGGTTGTTTCTCGATTTATAACGTCAGTAAACATTTTGTTTGTGTCTCATTATTTAGTTTCAAGTCTTCTTCAACACAACATGATGTTAGTTTTTTAAAAAGTCATCAGATTTAAAGTCAAATAGACGATGAAGCCCCGCAAGCATTGGGGGCGTGGATACAGTGTGATTGACAGCTAGTACAGGCCAATGGATGCAGGTGTAGGTGGGCGTGCAGTGCACTCAGCTGCTCCTTCAAATATTTTTACTTCTGGTTTCTGTTTCTGATATTTTTTTAATCTAACTCGCTGTGAAACATCCGTCTGCTCTTCTCTCCAGGTCAAACGGTCGAGCTGTTGGAGCGGCCGAGTGAGCGGCCCGGCTGGTGTCTGGTCCGAACCACCGACCGCAGCCCCCCGCAGGAGGGACTGGTTCCCAGCTCCGCGCTCTGCGTGTCCCACTCGCGCTCCAGCGTGGAGATGGACTGTTTCTTCAACTCGGGAAAAGGTAGGAAGAACAAACGTGATGTCGGCATCGAGCTTCAACACTGACCTGCTGCTTGAGAATCAGAGTTTGACGGGAAGGAAAAGCAAAATATAAAATAAAAAGAAGTCTTAATTTAAATACATGATATAATTATGTATATTCATCTCCTATACTCTGGCTCAGGGTCGCTAAGTTCTTCATGGTGCGTTCTTTGGGGTGAAAGTTACACGTTATCACACTGAGGTCCGCAAACAGAAACAAACAGAATAAGTTAAGATGCCGTGAATAATGTGCAGATATGAATGAAATGAGAGCTCAGGCTTGTGGGAACAGCAGTCCCAGTTTTCTGCAGCAAGTTTAAAACCCGATTGTGAGTCAGAAATCTCACACAGACACACACAGACACACACACACAGACACACACACACACACACACACACACACACACACACACCTCTCTGATTCAAAATATGGCATCTTTCCAGTTCAAAGTGCTGCAAACAGGTCTGATTGGATGGATTCGTGTAGCGAGGGAAGCCAGACCTCCAGCTGTGATGAATTATGCTGATGTTCAGATAGAGAGAGAGATAGAAAGATAGAGAGAGAGAGAGATAGAAAGATAGATAGAGAGAGAGATAGAAAGATAGAAAGATAGAGAGAGATAGAGATAGATAGATGTGTGAAGAAGAGGAAATGCAGAGAATGTGCAAATTTAAAATGGACCCTCTCAGATGTAATATCTCCTTCATCGTGTTCATCGTGTTCATCGTGTTCATCGTATTCATCGTGTCTTGATGAATAATCAGCCTGACAGACGCAGAGAGCGTTTCTTTTTCATTAGTCAGCTAATTTCATGTGAACTGATCTGCCCTGACCTCTACTGGTGAGATTCAGACACTGCGCTATTTGTGAAACCCGCCCTTCTCTGTCGATCGAGTTCCGCTCAGACAGACAGAGCTTCTAAAAATAGATGTTGAGCGGTCGTCGTGTTTACCTGCATGCTGAATTAGTGCTTCTCAACAATCCCACAATGCAATGCAGATAAAATGAGCTCATCCTTCGTCAGTCTCACGACAGGAACGTTTTCCGTGAGCGTTTCCTGTTTCTTATCGATTCGACTTTTGACTGTGAACAAATGAGGTCGTTTTCCGACACAGAATTCTTGATGGTTGCCCTGGTTACCGCTGTACACAGAAGTATGAGACGGAGCAGAATTTACATGACATGGCACAGTTGCTGTGGTTACTGCCTCACAGTTCCTGAGCACTTGCACACACACACACACACACACACACACTGTTGTAGTTCCTGTTCAGTCCTGTAGTGGGCGCTGTGCAGCTCCTCCCCGCACTTGTTCCATGTGACCTCTGACCTCCAGCTGAGTGTTGACACGCAGCAGACTGTGCTGAAGATGTTTGGATCAGAAAGCGACGAGCTCTGATGGAAACAGGAAGCGCTCCTCAGCGGCTTCTCATTACGAGGTCGCGTAAGGATGAGCTGATGTCATCTCATCGCACTGGAGCCATTTTACAGCGAAGAGGAAGTGGATGCTGAGAATTCTTATCAGTCAGTCAGTTGAACTTCAGAGTGGTGCTGGTTGTGCTGCAGATGGAGATGGACTGAGGCTGGATTTCAGCCCTGAGCTCAGAATTAGATCAGATTCACAAGAATGTATTTCATCTTGATCTGAGTCTTGATGCTTTCATTCACATTTATCAGATGAATACGAAGTTGCACAAGGTATATGTGTGTGTATATATATATATACACACACACACATATATACATACATACATATATGCACAGTATGTATTCTCTTCACTGAAGTTTATCTTAGCCTCTCTCAGCATGAAATCACCTGATTTGCCTGACGCAGTCATGGTGTGTTTCCTGCTCTTGCTGATGAGAGGAATGTTTTGTGTTGCCATTGCTACATGCAAATCGAACCTCTGTGACCGCTACACATAGAAATAAACACGTTAACACACATGTTTTGAGATATTGAGTGGATACTGAGGGCAGCGTCGCGTGGTGTGGCAGTAAAGGTTGAAGGAGTGAGCGGCCCTGCGCCACATGAAAATGAGTAACACTTAAAAATGGGGTTTCTGGCCCTCGGGCTCATGTTGTTTAACTATAAATACAACAACAAATGCTTCTTTTTGTTTAAAAGTGTTCTGTAAAATCACTTTTTCATTAAAGTTTAAACCGGCCTTGAAAAGAGAACACTGCCCTCAGTGACTATTTTGTGCCACTGGCACTGATTGAAAACTAATGTGTTGGAACTAATTGACCACTATTATGACTCCACGTCAACACAACAGTTAAATAATCAACTTTTAAAATGTGCACAAGAATCACTGCAGTAAGAAAAGCATAAAGACAACACATTCATATATTTTTAACTTTAACTTGATTCATAATAAAAAGTGAATGAATGTGATCCAACATCTGGTCGGACAAACTATTCTGACCTTTTAGTTTTACACATACTTGTCAAAGACGCACAGTGACTTGCTCCAGAAATATTTTTTATTATCACATCATTAGATCATTTTATTAATTCACTATTGTATTGTGCACTGTGCATATTCTGCTGTAGCAAGACGTGCACACCCTGAGCAAACATTAGAACCTTCACTTTGTATTGCAAATACACAAAATCACCCTCCAGGTCCATTTTCTCTAACATGAGTGCTTTATGTTGGTTTAATAGAAATACAGAAATGTGTTTCCTCAACAATGAAATGACTGGAGGCTGCTGGGGACTTAATGAACTGTTCTCCATTTGTTAATGAATCAGTCAAACTGTTAATTAACCCACGAGAGTCACTGCTAATTAAGTAACATGAATAAAAAAAACCTCTGCCTCACTCAGCTTCAGCCCCAGCCCGAGTCTTGTGACTCTTCTGTAAAGTAGGTCTCCTTGTCCTGTCTCCGCTGACTGTGGAGACATAGAGGGAAACTTTTCCTTGTTTTTATAACACAGAAACAGAGGGTCATACTAAACGATTGAACTCGCATCACATGAACATCTGTAATTGGATGGCTCGTAGATCTTGTCCCTGACGAGGCGTCAGATGGTAGTGATGATGATGATGACGACGATGATGATGATTAGTTGATTTTACAGGTTGAGTCTCTCGGCACCGGGCCTCAGATACTGACGACAGGTCTGGCACCGGCAAGTGTGCAAATCTATGTGTACCAATCTGATCCCACATCTCTGAAGCAAATTAGTTTTACCTGGATAAAAGTGCAACAAATACTATATATGTATATATATATATATATATATACTAGCTTCTGAGGTCATAGCTGCAGAAGTTAAGTATTTATTTTGCTGTGGAACGTCAGTAGAGGTGCTCTGTGTGTAAAATGGGACACTGCAGGGGAACAGAGCTGCTGGGCAAACTTTATCTGGGCTACGTGCATGTGTGTTGTGTTACCTGCTGCTGCAGTGCTCGTACACAGAGGGGTAACGTTTACACTCCATCGTGGCCTGGATTGAATAATGTGCTTTATTTTAGTTGAGGTAAACCAGTCAGATAAATAAATAAATAAATAAATACAGATTGAATGAGGATGGCATCAGGTAACATGTCTGGTTGGTGACATTATTCAAACTGAATTGTTTCTGGAATTGTGTAAAACTAGATTATTTTATTTGTTTAATTTGATTCAAATCTAAACCAAAGTTTCATGTGCTCTTCCCCGACCCTTCCCCAAACTCTGTGGTTATATTTTCAGTGCTTGTTTCATAATTTTAACTTCTTGCCTGAGCAGATTCTAGGGCTAAATATGTGTAATTGCTGGTGTGAGTGCATGAACACAAAGCATATTTACTGTCTTTAAATTATGAAATGTATCCAGGATCGAGAAAGAGCCATCCTGAGCCGCCCTTCTCTGACGTTAAGACGCTGAGTGTAGCTCATCATCCTGGTCTGAGTCTCAGCTCCTCGGTTGATAAGCATCTGTCAGTTTAAACATCCAGGAGACGTCTTATCGTTCGTTTGTTTTCGTGCTTCATGTCCACAGATCAGTTTTATTCTCTTTACTCAACTCCTGAGGGAAAAGTCTCTTCAGTGGATAGATTCTCTTCTAATTCACCTGTCGACTGTTCAGTGCCTTTTATTTATTTATTTATTTTTTACTGAAAACAGTTGTGGGTCAGAATAAGTTTAGAAGTCATTTGTGTATTGTCCAATTCTCCACAGTTCACCAGCAGTGTCATTGCTTGCGGCGACAAATGTTGTGCAGCTCTATCAGATATGCTCCTGCCATATTTGAATAGACATTACAGGACATTTATGTAACTGGGGCCAGTGTTTGAATGTCGGAAAGCTTTTACCTCAACAGAAGTCTGCAGTGTTCCACACACACACACACACACACACACACACACACACACAC